AAGAACTTCTGCTGTTACTTGCGGCAAAGGCTGTACATAAATAAACGAAAAATAAATTATTTATTTATATTTATATTTATTTATTTATTTATTTATTTATTTATTTATTTATTTATTTATTTATTTATTTATTTATTTATTACTTACATCATCAGGAGGGGAGAGTTTTACTTCAATTGATGGCAAAGTTTGTGCATTTTGACGAAATTTTATTGGCCAAGAATTCTAAATAAATAAATAATTAAATAAATAAATAAATAATTAAATAAATAAATAAACATAAAAGGGAATAAAAAAGAAATAAAAGGGAAATAAAGAAGAAATTAGGAAGATATAAACAAGATATAAACAAGAAATAAACAAGAAATAAACAAGAATAAATGAAGGAATATCTATAATTAGAAAGAAGGGGAAAAATAAATAAAAAGTAAATATTTATAACTAAAAAGAAGAATAAAAGGGAATTGATTGATTTATTTCTTTCTATTTACCCCTTTTAATGAATAAACTTGTTGAGAAAGAAGAAGAAGGAAAAAAAGAAGAAAAAGGAAGAAAAAAGACGAAAGTAAATACATCTCCTTTTTATTTATTTAATTATTCATTTATTTATTTATTTATTTATTTTATTCTTCATTTTCTCATTTTTATCTTTATTTTCTCTCTTTTTTATTTATGAATTCTTTTGCTTTCCTTTTTTTTCTTAAAAAAAAAAAGCTGCCTATACACCCCAATTATGATCGTGCAAAAAAGAAAGCAGAAAATAAATATTTAATTCATTTATTTTTATTTATCCTTCTTTTTATTTTTAATTATTTATTTCTATTTAATTTCTTTTTAATTGTTTATTTTTATTCATTTGTTTTTCTTTTTCTCTTTTTCTTTTTCTTTTCATAAAAAATGCATTTTATGCACATTCAAGGAAGCTCATGGTTCACGAAATGTTTCCTTTTTGTTTATTCAATTAAATTAAAATAAATTATTTAAAATAAATTATTTATTTAAAATAAATCATTTTAATAAATAACTAAATAAATGGATTAATTATTTACTTATTTATTTAAATTAAATTTTATTTCCTTCGTTCTTTCTTTTCTTATTTTAATTCAATAAGAAACTAACAAGAAAAAACGGCATTAAATTGTATGTCCATGTGTTATTCTTTCCTTTTTATTATTGTCTAAAATAATATTTTGTTTATTTTAATTTAGTTTTAATTTATTTATTTATTTTTATTCCTTTAAAGTACCTTTTTATTCCCTTTTCTTCTTTTTTCCTCCTCCTGGCGCTCGCTAAGGCGGCATCGACAGGTATACTGCTGCTATGGCTATACACACTGCACATACACCCCAGAGGTAATTAAAAGTTTATTTATTTAGTTACTTTTATTACTTATTAATATAAATTTAACAGAAAATAGAAAAAAAAATGTCACTTATATATGCGTTCTCTCTCCCTCTCTTGCAAGTACGTCGGCGGTGGGGCCCCCAGGGGGCCCCCGCTGAGAGCTGTTGTACCATCATTCCTCCTTGTAGATCTTTATTTGTGCATTTAAATGATTAAGTCTTATTTTGTCTTTTATTTTTTATGTTTTTTTTAAATAAGTTGCTGCGTCTGACTGTCTTTTTCTTTCTTTTTAGTGCCCTCTCCTGCTGTGGCAATGGGGGGCCCCCTAGCAGCAAGGGGGGCCCCTCTAGGACACTGTAAAGTCTCTTAGGGGCCCCTCTATATGTTAATAGAAACAGTATAGGGGCCCCCTGTTTGCGTCTTCCCCTTTCTCCTCCATTTCTATGTGTCTGCCGCTGCAGCAGGATGTGGATGGAGCGTAGCGAGCTGCAGCAGCTGCAGCAGCAGCGGCAGCCGGCGAGGCCCCGTTTCCGCCGCAGCAGCGGCAACAGCAGCAGCAGCAAGCTGCTGAAGCGGGGACGGGGTATAACCCTATTGTTGCTGCTAATATGCTGTATGCTTTGCTGCATGCAGGGGGTCTCATGTGCTCGTTTGCTGCTGCCCCCCCGCTGCTGCTGCTCTTTCATTGCAGCAAGACCTTCCCTGCTGCAGCAGTCTTCTCTGCCAGCAGCAGCAGATGCTGCTGTTTCTGCTGCTGCTGCTCCAGCAAAGGGATTCTCCTCAAGACTTGCTGCAGTGAATGGAGAAGATACAGATGGGGGCCCCCCGAAGACCACTGGGGGGCCCTCACAGGGTACAGGGCCCCCCAATAGACTAGTGTACCCTTTTGCAGAGATAGAGAAGAGATGGGTAGATTATTATGCGAATAAATGCGAAGAATATTCTCCTCCTTTACCACCAGACGAAGACGACGACAGCAGCAGCAGCAGCGACAGCAGCAGCAGCAGCGACAGCAGCAGCAGCGACAGCAGCAGCAGCGACAGCAGCAGCAGCAGCAGCAGGAAGTATTATATATTATCTATGATTCCTTATCCATCAGGTAGCGGGCTACACATGGGTCATTGTTATACATACACCATAGCTGATGTAGCAGCAAGATATAAACGTTTGCTGCTGCGCTCCTTAATGATTAAGGATCAAGCAGCAGCAGCAGCAGCAGCAACAGCAGCAACAGCAGCAACAGGAACAACGGCAGCTAATACTACTACTACAGCAGCAGCAATAACAACAGCAGCACCTTCATCATCATCCTCATCACCTCCTGCAGCAGCAACAACAACAGCACCAACAGCAGCAGCAGCTGCTGCTGCAGCACCATCACCAGCAGCAGCAGCAGCAGCAGGAGCAGCAGGAAAGAAGCCTCCTATACCTTTAGTATTACATTGTATGGGTTGGGATTCATTTGGATTACCAGCAGAGCAGCATGCAAGAGAATTAAAAAAAGCCCCAAAAAAAATAGTGCATGCAAATATAAATAAATATAAAAAAGAATTAAATAAATTAGGTATAAGTGTAGATTGGAGAAGAGAGATAAATACTTCTTCTTCTTCTTTCTTCTTATGGACACAATGGTTCTTCTTACAAATGATTAAATATAAATTAGCTTACCAAGATTATTCTCTTGTTAATTGGTGCCCGCAATTAGGTAAGGAAATTTAAACAAAAAAATTAGGGTTTAGGGTTTAGGGTTTAGGGTTTAGGGTTTTAGAGGGCTTAGGGTTTAGGGGTTTTTAGGGTTTGGTATTTTGGGGTTCTGGGTTGAGTTGGAATTTTTTTTTGGGTGTATATGTCCAAGAATTCTTAGGGTTTAGGGTTTAGGGTTTAGGGTTTAGGGTTTAGGGTTTAGGGTTTAGGGTTTAGGGTTTAGGTTTTAGAGTTTTAGGAATGTATGCATGCAGGTACCGTATTAGCGAATGAAGAATTAACCCCTGAGGGTTTAAGCGAGAGAGGAGGGTTTGCAGTAGAGCGTCGTTTATTACGTCAATGGCATTTACGTCTGAGGGTTTATGCTGAGGGTTTACATGAGGGTTTAGGGTTTATAGATTGGCCACAAGATGTTATACAGATGCAAAAGAATTGGATAGGGCGTACGGTGTATACGCAGATACCTCTCTTATTTGTTCACGATAAGGGTTTAGGGTTTATTGAGGGTTTAGGGGAGAATGAGGGTTTAGGGGAGAACGAGGGTTTAGGGGAGACTGAGGGTTTACGAGGGGAGGATAATAATAAGGGTTTAGGGTTTGATGGCAAGGGTATAGAGGTTGGTAAAGGGCTTAGCAGCAGCAACAGCAGCAGCAGCAGCAACAACAGCAGCAGCAGCAGTAGCAAGAAGAATAAACCCTCAAACCCTAAACAGAAAACCCTAAATGCTTTGCTGCTGCAGCAGGAACATCTTTGCTGCTGTACTGCTGTTGCTGTTCATCCTCTGCATCCATTTGCTGCTGCTGCTGCTGCTGCTGCAGCAAAACAGCAAGAAGGATCTCCTATAGTAGAATATATTAATAAATATAAAAAAGAAAGGGAGAATTCCCTACTAACGAGCAGCAACTACAGCAGGAGCAGCAGCAACTACAGCAGCAACAGCAGCAGCAGCAGCAGCAAGATAAGTGGTGTAGCGTCTGGGGTGTACGTACACCATCCATTTAATGGCAACAAATTGCCAATAATAATAACAAATATAATTGAATATTTAGATGAATATAATCAGCAATTAAATTATAAAGATGTACTGCTGCTGTCGCCGCAGCAGCAGCAGCAAATTGCTGCTCCTCTTGTTGCTGCAGGATTAATACCTTTTTCTCCAGTAAATATACCAACAACAACAACAGCAGCAGGAACAGGAACAGGGAAAGCAGCAACATCAGCAGAAACAGATGCAGCTGCAGCTGCAGCAGCAGCAGCAGCAGCAGCAGCAAAGGAGGAAGCAGATAAATGGCTTGCTGCCAGCAGCAGCAAGAAAGAAATAATTCGTTATAAATTAAAAGATTGGGTATTCAGTAGACAAAGATATTGGGGGGAACCGATCCCCGTGCTGCGCTGCCGCAGGAGAGTACCTCGTGCAGCAGCAGCAGCAGCAGCAGCAGCAGCAACAGGAGCAGCAGCAGCAGCAGCAGCAGCAGAAGAGGATATTATAGAGGAGGTAATACCCCTTCATGAATCACAACTTCCTCTTAATCTTCCTCCTTACCGTCCTGACCTAGCTGCATACACCCCAGCAGCAGCAGCAGCAGCAGCAACATCAGCAACAGCAGCAGGAGCAGCAGGAGCAGCAAAAGGAGAAGCAGCAGCAGCAACAGCAGCCGCAGGTTCCTCTGAGCCAATTGCTGCATTAAGTCGTTATGAAGATTGGGTACGAGTAGACCCTGCCCAACTAGCAACCCTAACAATGGGGGCCCCTGGGGGCCCTCTTGGGGGCCCCCAAGGGGCCCCCCTCCTGGATGAAAAAAAAAAGGGTACAATTGTAGACGTAAGGAGGGAAACGTTAACAATGCCTCAATGGGCAGGAAGTAGTTGGTATTATTTACGATTTATTGATCCCTTTTATAGGGGGGGCCCCGCTAGGGGCCCCCTATTACGTAAATGGTTACCTGTAGATCTATATGTAGGAGGGAAAGAACATGCTGTTACTCATCTTATTTATGCCAGGTAATATAATATAATATAAGATTATCCAGCTAGCTAGCTTATGCACAGCAGCAGCAGCAGCAGCAGCAGCAGCAGCAGCAGCATCGGCAGCAACAGCAGCAGCAACAGCAACAGCTAGCTAGCTACCACACACATACACACATAACAACAGCAACAGCAGTAGCAGCAATCCCCTCCAATCTTTCCTTTTATGTCTAAGTGTCTCCTTTTGTTTTTATTTGTTTTCTGCTGCTGTTGCTGTTGCTGTTGCTGTTGCTGCTGCTGCTGCTGCTGCTGCTGCTGCTGCAGGTACTGGCAGAAATGTTTAGTAGATATGGGTATTAGCTGCTGCAGCGAACCCTTTAGGTGTCTCCTTACCCCTGGGGTAATACTGGGGGCCCCCCGTCATTTCTTATTAAGAAGGAAGGACACGGGGGCCCCTGTTCCTGCTGCTGAGTGCCAACTATACCCTGGTGCTCTTGCTAAACTTACTGCAGCAGCAGCAGCAACAGCAACAGCAGCAGAAGAGGAGGACGAAGAAGAAGCAGAAGAAGAAGAAGAAGAAGCAGCAGCAGCAACAGCAGCAAGGGGAGAAGAAGAAGCAGCAACAACAAAAGATACATCAACAGCATCAGCATTAGATGCTGCTGCTGTTCGTGCTGCTACTGCAACAGCAGCAGCAGCAACAGCAACAGCAGCAGCAGCAGCAGCAGCAGCAGCAGGAATACCTTGTGGTATACATCGTCCCTCAGGTATAGAAGTATTAGGAGAAGAAATAAAAAATAATTCTCCTTTTATTCAGCAAATTAACGAAAAAAAATGGGCATATGTGCCTGCTGCTGCTGCTGCAGCAGGAGCAGCAGCAGCAGCATCTGTTGCTCCTGCTGCTGCTGCTGTTCCTGCTGCTGCTGCTGGTGTAGATGAATATAAATCAACAAATAATAACAAAAAAACAACAACAGCAGCAACAGCAGCAACACAATCACCGCCAGAATCAGCAAGATCAGCAGCAGCAGCAGCAGCAGCACCAACAGCAACAGCAGCAACAGCAGCAGCAACAGCAGCAGCACCAATAGAACTATTAACTATATTAGATAAAATGTCTAAATCTAAGAAGAATGGTGTATCTCCTTCTTTATTAATAAATAAATATGGTGGGGATGTGCTGCGTATACACCTCATGTCCTTAGGTGCAGCAGCAGCAGCAAAAGTATGGCAGCAAACAGGTATACAGGGAGCAGCAAGATTTATACAGAGGGTATATAATATGGTCATTAAACAGAAAAAGAATAGCAGCAGCAGCAGCAGCAAGGGCAGCAGCAAGTGCAGCAGCAGCAGCAGCAGCAACAGCGGGAGCAGCAGCAGTGATAGTTGTGATAGTAGCAGGGATAGCAGCAGCAGCAGTAGCAGCAAGAGCAGCAGTGGAGTAGACTCTGCTGCTGCTGCTGCTGCTGCTGCTGCAGCAGCAGCAGCAGATGATGATGATGATGATGATGGTGTTACTGTTGGTGGGGTTGCTGCTAAGCCAATGACAGCAGCAGAACTTTTGCTGCTGCTGCCCTTAATAAAAAAAGTAAATAAATGCATAGAACGCATGCAAGTTAATAGGGCTGTTGCTGCTCTTATGGAGGGAAGCAGGCAGCTGCAGCAGCTGCAGCAGCAGCAGATAGATCATCATCAACAGCAGCAGCAGCAGCAGCAGCAACAGCAGCAGCAGCAAGATGGGCAGCGACAGCAGCTGGTGCAGCAGCATAACCATAACCAGCAGAATCATCAGGAGAAGAAGAATCAGCTGCAGCAACAAGAGCAGCAGCAGCAGGTGCAGCAGCAGGAGCAGGAGCAGCAAGAGGGTACATTATCTGTTGCATGCATAAAGGTGCTGCTGCTGCTGCTGCATCCTTTTGCTCCCTTTATAACAGAAGAGTTATGGAGGAGAGCAGCAGCAAAATATCCGCAAGAATTCTCCTTCCCTAAGGAGACTATTGCTGCAGCAGGAGAGTGGCCGGATTTGCTGCTGCTGCAGCAGCAACAGCAGCAGCAAGGGCAGCAGCAGCAGCAGGATGCAGCAGCAGCAGCAGCAGCAGCAGCAGCAGGAGACGAGGAACTTGTTGAGGTGTCTGTACAGATAGATGGTAAATATAAGCTGTCTATACACCTGAATAAAAAAGATTTGCTGCTGCAGCAAACGCATGCACAGCAGCAAATGCATGCAGCAGCAACACAATCTGCTGCAGTGCAGCAGCGGCTGCAGCAGCAAACAGCAAAAGGGAAGACACTAAAAGAACTCTTGCTGCTGCCCCATAAACGAATCATTAATTTTATTTATAATTAACTCTTTTTTTTATTTATTTTATTTATTTATTTATTTATTTATTTATTTATTTATTTATTTATTTGCTTATTTATTTGTTTTTTTTATTATTATTTAGTTTTTATTAATAGTAAATAATTAGTATTAAATAGTTATTATTA